AAAAAAAAAAAAAAAAAAAAAAAGATAGAATTATGTAATCTCGAAATTTTTATCCCGACGCGATATTTAAAATTTTTTTATAATCTTTTACGTCAAGTATTTTTAATTAACCTTTTCAAAAAATCAACAATAAATTCATACGTGCGATTAAATTTGCACATGTGTATCGCAAATAATCTTTTGTACGAATATAATTATAATTCACTTTTTCATTAATTGAAATTTTCACACTTGTTAAACCGATAAATTGCACGTTTTTGTAATAAATTTATAAGATTTATAGATCCACTTATCCTAGTAAAATTCTACGCGTATTTCTAAAATACTAGTAATTTGTTGTTCATTATAGCAAAATGTAAGGAAATTGTTATGATATCGAAATTTGTTTTTTAAAACGCTAATTTTCGACTGTAGATCATCTGTACAATAAAAATAAATAAGATAAACGTAGATTACTTTTTTTTCATTCTTAAAATAGTCTTCGAATCTCAGTTTTTGATAAATAGCTCGTGTATGTATATCTTTTATTATCATTTCTTTTTTTCCTTCATTGCACAGTTACTTAATAACAAAGAATTGTAAGATATCTAACTTTAGACTCGAAAGTTACATCTATCTTTCAAATAAAAGAAACACGTTCACTGCACAAGTGATTGTAAATCATTTATCACTGCATGCATTATTTATTTATTTATTTTATTTATAGAGTAAGAATTGCAAGGATAATTTATAAAGTGAACGAAAAGTTATGAACGAAAAGTCAGTAAAACATTTGGGCAACGATGAATTTCTAATATTTTTGCATATATGCTCCTCCGAGGATACTCGACAGGAAGAAAAACCCCTCGTGAAAGTCGTCACTCGATACAACCCACGCGTTCCTCGTCCGAATCGACGGTACGCAATTTTACGCAAGTGCGTGTCTGGCTGCGTGCGCCCTACGAAAGCTCGTAAGCTCCCTCCGAAGGGTGAATGGAGCCTCTAATTTAGTTGGTGCCATGACCGTCCTACGATTCGTACAAGGTCCACGCTTCTTTTACACTCGTAAAAGCCTCGTCTCTCTGTTAATAGCTCTGCCCCGTCCCAGTGCTGTAACCTCTGTGTTTCATCAGTTCTCGTTGCTGATTGAAATCGATCAGTGATGATTATTCTATCATTAATATTATTTTCAACAGTTCGTTCGTTTATCTTCCTTGTCGCCGAGCTAAGATAAAAGCAAAGATATATTACGAAATATCGAACGTTCCCCGAGTATAGGGGAGAACAAGTGCCATTGAATGTCAAATCGTCAGAGTATACAGTGTTATCGAATAAATGTACAAAGCAATACATGTATACAAAGTATATGTTTCTTGACGGTTGAGAGTCAACGGGAAACACGGGAATTTTTTTCTCTCTGTGTTAAGAATCACCATTCGTACGATCGATCGATGCCGGTATTTGCCGATACCAGGTGGATTTGCTCCTTGTGCAATTAATTTTGACGAACACGTCGAATAAATACAGGAAAGTATTTGAAGATCCTAGGTTTCTGCTAGGCTGGTTTATTGATCTTCCAGCCGGTATACCGATGTTACAGCAATAACAGTCGGTCAGCATCGCTGAGTGACAAACATCGGTAGGCAGCCATCAGGGGAATCGCAATTCATTGAACGTCAGAATACAGTATTATGTTGTTGGTTAAACAACAGTAGTAAAGAAAAAAGAAGATGATCTTAAAAATCTGAATATCGAAAA